CCGTCGTGCTATATAGATAATTTATATTCAGTTATCTGAAATTTAACGTAATGGCGCGTACCAAGCAGACGGCTCGTAACTCCACCGGAGGTAAAGCTCCCAGGAAGCAATTAGCCACGAAGGCTGCCCGTAAAAGTGCTCCTGCTACTGGCGGAGTTAAGAAACCTCACCGTTATCGTCCGGGAACTGTGGCTCTCAGAGAAATTCGTCGTTATCAGAAACGTACCGAATTGTTGATCAGAAATTGCCTTTCCAACGGCTGGTCCGTGAAATAGCGCAAGATTTCAAGACCGATTTGCGATTCCAAAGTTCTGCTTGTAATGGCACTCCAAGAAGCTAGCGAGCGTACTGGTCGGACTATTCGAGGATACGAACTTGTGCGCGATCCACGCTAAGCGAGTAACGATCATGCCGAAAGATATACAGCTGGCAAGACGTTAGGGGCGAACGGCCTAATGGAATTGACGGATTTACTATTTGCCGGAAAGAGAGGAGAGGAGAGAGAGGAGTACGGGCGTGCGATAATAGGTTATAAAAAAAAAAACGGTTCTTTTCAGAACCATCATATAGTTGTTCAGAAAAAGGGGATCGTGTATTATGTTAAGTATATCAGATTGTTGTTGTACGCGTGCAATTTCGACACTATTATCGTGTATGCAAAATAGCGCTAAATGGTTATACGATTCGCTAGTTATTACCCGTTATCCTATATCGAAGGATTGTGGTGCTTTGTAGTAAACGTTACATTGATATTATTCTAATAACGTACAATTGTATGTATGTGTATGGAAGTAAATAATTATAAGTAGCATGTGATTATAATGTAGATAATTCGACATAATATAGATATTTTGCCGTATATATTGCTTAGGCGTTTAGGCAGGCTGTTAGCGTGTAATACGTAACTTAGGTACTTTCACGTAGATCAAAAGTCAGTAATGCGTACGTCTAATAATTAATATGTAGTAAGAGATGAATTTATAACTCGATCGCTCGTATATTATATATATTTTTTCTACTCTGGCTTATTTATTACGAATATAGATTGATGTCTCATATTCTTATCTATTTTGTCATATTACAGGAGTAATGTTAAAATTATCGCGATATTTCGCGACTGTGCACGTTCGGATGTACGCCAGACATACCTCCGTATAATTGCGATTATCTAAAATACCTTATCCATTAGCCGTATACCGACAGTATTTGTATTACGAATAGTCGTAGATTGTTAATTTCATGAAATATCTAATTATATAACGTATTCGTATAAATAAATTAGATCAAAAAGCCGGACGATTAGGTCCAAAGCGGATACCTTGCACGTTTCACCTTATAATTTTATCGTGTACGTAGCGTACGTGATCAAGTCGCGAAGTGCGAAAATGTGTATTTCAAATTATGCAGATTTCATATTCGTTCAGGTTTTAGCTGTTGCTCGTATGCAATTATATCAGCGACTCAAAAAACCAACAGATACGACCGCAGGCTTGGCAGAATTGAAGCCGTCGAAATCGGTTTCGCTGCAAAGTCGGAGCGTTCAATGTTCGGTCCGACCGAATGACTTGGGTCACGACGCTGAATTTACCTCTCACATTCATTCGACATTCGTTCTCTTAGCGAGATCGTCGATCAGTGATTGCAAAAGATCGCGCGTATACAATAATCTGTCTCCTCTTCACGACTCGTAAACATGGCAGATACGGAAAACCAGAATTACGCCGCGTCGGCTACGGCTACCGCGAATTCTGCGTCGCCGACGTCGCAGTCGTCTGCGAAAAAGGAGAAAAAACCGAAGAATCCGAGGGCGAAGCCGTCTCATCCTCCTACTAGCGAAATGGTCATCAACGCAATTAAAGGATTAAAAGAGCGTGGCGGGTCGTCTCTGCAAGCTATCAAGAAATACATAGCCGCTAATTACAAAGTAGACGCTGAGAAAGTTGCGCCTTTCATCAAGAGGTACTTAAAATCGTCCGTCGCGTCTGGAGCTTTAGTACAGACGAAAGGCAAAGGAGCTTCCGGATCGTTCAAGCTAGCTTCGTCATCGGGCGGAGCGTCGAAAACTTCATCATCGTCAGCCGCAAAGGTTGGCGAAAAGAAGAAGAAGAAATCGCGACGGCTCAAAGAAGAGCGGAACCGTAGCTAAGAGAGCTAGCGGTGCGAAATCTGCGAAGAAGGCATCTCCGAAGGCTAAGAAACCGGCGGTGGCCGGTGGTGCGGCCGAGAAGAAAGCTTCTCCAGCTAAGACAAAGAAAAGTGGGAAATCGGCGACGTCGGCTAAAGCTTCTTCTGCTGCACCTCTGCAGCGGCTGCAAAAAACATCTCCTTCGAAGGCGAAGAAATCCAGCAAGGGAGCTCGACCAAGAAGCCAAAGCACCAAAACCGAAAACGGCGAAGGCTGCAACATCGCCAAAAAGGAAGGCCGCTTCACCCAAAAAGAAGAAATAAAAAAAAAAATTTAGACGTGTTGCAACGTCGTAGATTACGGCTACGTCGGTTCGAGACGTTATTTATGCGAGAGGATGCTATACGTCCCCGCGGATTGAAAATGGCCCTTTCAGGGCCACCACTATTACTATAAAAAGGATACAGAATATTACGAATTAGCAATTTTGTATCGAAATATACATGTACAACTGCGGCTCGTACGTGCGTTGATGTTTTTTTTTTTTTTTTTTTTTATTAAATTCGAGTATTATTCGTTACGATTAGGTATTATAGCAAGTGGTAATGTTAGGCGTCGTCACCATCGATATTTGCTTTTAAGGGTATACATAAGTATGTATTGTGTTTTAATTAAACGAATGAACGTTTAAACAGTCGATTGCGTCGTAAGGATATCCCCTTTTTTACGCTTTCGTTTACCATTAAATAATCCGGTCGGGTCTTATATCAGACGTTATTGCTTTTAGTGGTGTATGTATATCACGAATAATCATCTGGTATTCAAGTACCAATAATATATATGTTGCGCGTACGGTGATATCATTATCTTTACTTGATAACTTTAGTGGTTCTGAAAAGAACCGTTTTTATGTTGTAAGTTGTTGTTGATGTTGTTGTTGTCGTCGTAGTTACATATTACTCGAACTGGTGTACTTGTTACGGCTTTGGTACCTTCGCTGACGGCGTGCTTGGCCAATTCTCCTGGTAGCAATAGTCGAACGGCTGTTTGAATTTCTCTGCTAGTTATCGTGGCACGTTTGTTGTAATGTGCCAATCGGGATGCTTCCGCTGCGATACGTTCGAAAATATCGTTGACGAAGCTGTTCATGATGCTCATCGCTTTGCTGGAAATACCGGTATCTGGATGTACCTGCTTCAGCACTTTGTAGATGTAAATTGCGTAGCTTTCCTTCCTCCTGCGTTTCTTTTTCTTATCAGACTTGGAAATATTTTTTGAGCCTTACCGGCCTTTTTAGCTGCTTTACCGCTAGTTTTGGGTGGCATCGCGTTTCGATTACACAAAAAGTACGATCTTTACTGACACAATATCGTGATCTATAATGGAAAGGTGTGCGGATAAACGGCGAGCTTTAACAGCCACGACGTTACCGACATAGACTCCGCCCCTTACGGGTGACCGACAAACGAAAACGGTGATTGGTCGGAGTAGTTATATAAATATACTCGTACCTAAAGACATTGCCATTCGATAACCTTTAGGAGGGGCTTAGGTCAAAAGCCCCCAGCGCAGGACCCCCAAGAAAAGATGGCCGTCCATAAAGTCGAGAACCGACAGTTGGAAGAAACGTCCACCACGCGCTTCCGCGACGCGTGCGCGATCGAGTCAAATTTCGGGAAAAGGGGCAAAATTGGGGAAGGGGGATAGCTCGTTCGGCAGCACACACTCGGGGAATGCGCAAGCGGCCTGAACCACGCAGCGCCACTCCAGGCCTTTGGGCGGGAGTGGGGGGAGGAGCAGATTGCTCTTCCCCCCACTCCTCAAGGGTTTGAGGTTGCCTGGAACAGGGGTGGTGGAGGGACCGCACAGGGTAGGAGGGTGTGTGTGTGTGTGTGACATTGCCATTCTATTCTATTAATTCGGTCAACGACAGCAGATTGTAGTCGTCGATTCGCAAGTCAAAAAAGAAAATAATAAACAAATAAACATGTCCGGACGAGGAAAAGGCGGAAAAGTGAAAGGAAAGGCAAAATCCAGGTCTAGTAGGGCCGGTTTGCAATTCCCTGTAGGTCGTATACACAGATTATTGCGTAAAGGAAACTATGCCGAACGCGTCGGTGCCGGAGCTCCTGTGTACCTTGCCGCCGTTATGGAGTACTTGGCAGCCGAAGTGTTAGAGTTGGCCGGCAACGCTGCTCGCGACAATAAAAAACCAGGATCATTCCACGTCATCTGCAGTTAGCAATCAGGAATGATGAAGAATTAAACAAGTTACTTTCCGGCGTAACTATCGCCCAAGGCGGAGTTCTTCCGAATATTCAGGCTGTCCTATTGCCGAAAAAGACAGAGAAGAAAGCCTAAATAATAATAATAATAAGAAAATAACGTCAAAACTAGAAATCGGCCCTTCTCAGGGCCACACAATTCGTTTGTTGAAGAAAAAATAGAGATCATCGGATCAGGAAACAAAAAAAAAAATCACGTAATATTTTGCCGATATTCCTTCATGCTGTTTGGGATTCAAGTAACAACAGCCCAATAACCGCATGATACAGTGTGATGTTACGTTTCTACGATACGGATCGTGACATGGAAAATGCAAACAAATAATACCAATTCTTACTTACCGTAACATTTTATGTTTACCTAGCATCGATGGTTGTGGAGCTCGACTATATGGAGATACCTTGGAGGGATAGTTACTTTCTAGAGGTACTGTCGGAATGATAGAACTTTATTCCAACGCAATTTTACATACAATGCCGCTAGTGTCTATAACGACAATCACGTTAACTCTCCCTCTCCCCCCCCCCCCTCTCTCTCTGTCTCACACATTGCTCTTCCCCCCACTCCTCAAGGGTATGAGGTTGCCTGGAACAGGGGTGGTGGAGGACCGCACAGGGTAGGAGGGTGTGTGGTGTGTGTGCGCGCAACATCAGTTCCGAGCTAGCAGCCGTTGCGAGTGTATACTTGCACGACTGCGACACACCCGGACATATTGAGCAATCTTATTGCGATAGATTGGTTGTTTGTCATTTACGATGGCGAAAATTGAGAAGCTGGCTAACCAGCTGAAAGAGAAGAAAGATGCTGTCGCCATGCTGGCAGAGCAGATGCGAAACCTGCAAGAAGCCTTCTTGCAAGCACAACAGGAGATCGAGGACCTGAACGGGAAGCTCCGCAGGGCACGAAGAAGGCCGCAAAGAAGACCGAAGAGGCGAGGCAGAGGACCACCAGGCTACGTCGGACGAGATGGACGCTCAAGAAGAGGACACCCAACGGACCGAAGAGGATAGGACCACGACAGAGACAGCAAGCAACGACGACACCGATTTCAGTGTCGCCACCAGACGGAAAAAAAAAAGCGGGTGCGAATTTCCTCCTCCGAAGACGAGACGCCAAGGCAGCCAAAGATGCCAGCTGCCGCCACCAAGAACGAGTCCTAGAGCAGCCAGGACCGCCGATGCAAACATGTGCCACTGATCCAGAGCTATCTAACACAAAGACGGTTCGCGGTGAGGATTGGTACATGCCATTCAACACGACGACAGCTGGTAGCAGGCGTGCTCCAGGAGTCAGCCTCAGTCCCCCCTGCTCTACAACATCTATACTCATGACGTACCGAAGACAGCTCACACAATGCTGGCCCTATATGCAGATGACATTGCTATCGCCGCTAAGCATCGACGACCCGAGATTATCCGTAGCAGACTACAGGATGAACTGGACTGTTGCGTGAAATGGAAAATCCGTATCAACGTCCAGAAGACGCAGGCAATCTTCATCCAACGAAGAAGGATTGCAAGCCCTCTCGAAGCATCCATCATCGACGAAGATATCCAGTGGAGCGACAAGGTCAAATATCTGGGGATCGTATTTGACAAGTCCCTCACCTGGAAAGACCACACATAGAAGCTGTCATCGCAAAGACCAGAGCAGCCATGGCTCAACTCTACCCAATACTGGGTAGACACAGCCGGATGCCGCTAGCGACCAAGCTACGGCTGATCAAGGCCATCGCCAGACCTCAGCTCGCTTACGCCTCCGCGGTCTGGGGGTACGCTGCTCTAGAGATGAAGCTACTCCGGATCGCCACCAACCGATCCATCCTACGTAAGAAACTCAACCTTGCGTAGAGACCTGCATTGGGACACCATTCACGAGTACATGAGGAAAAAAGCGGAGAAGACCTTCCAGAAAGCTCAGGACCACCCTAACGAGCAGCTACGATTCCTCATGAACTACGATCCGGACGAGAGGCATCGCAACCGCAGAACCAGGTACCCTAGACCAAGGTCCCAGTTGGCACCCGCTAGTTGGAACCTTGACTAGGAGACTAGGAGAACCCGCGGTTGCTGCAACATCAAAAGTATCTGAAAACCGTCCTGTAGCCGCGACATCCCCGACTGGTACTAGAACAACCCGACGACAGAACTGGGTGGTCGGGTCAGTGTGTCAGGTCGGTATGCAACCTGCAACCGACGGTCACGGTCACGCGCGTAGAGGTAAACGAACCGGTATAATCGATTGCGTTTCAATAAAAAACAACGAGCACTAGAGACGTGGCTAGAGAAGTGCAAGTATCAAAAACTAAGTGTGGCAAGCGCTGCGTGAAGAGGGGCTGTATCCGTTTCACGTCTAACGTGTACAAGCCCTTCAACCTGACGATTTTCCAGCAAGAGTGCGGTTTTGTGAGTAGTTGTTGCATCAACATGACAATAATCCGGACTCTTTGAAGTGCATATTCGTGTGACAGACGAATCTATGTTCACGCGTCGGGCACATTTTCAACAAACATTTTCGGTGAATGATAGGCTGGCATGGTGAACGGTATGCTCATTGGACAATTTATTCTCCCAAATCGATTGGACGGGATGCAATACCTAGACTATTTACGCAACATTTTACCTTCCTTGTTAGCCTACGTCTGCTCGGTAGCGCATCAGCTGATTTCATTTTCTGTTGGAGCGGTATGATTTCTGGCAGAGACGTACTTAGCCCTTCTGGTCAACTGGAGAGAGAGTAATTTCACCAATATTTTTTTATTTACTCGGTCGTTGTCGTTTCACTACACATTACCTTTGTTATTTCAAGGGTAGTTGTTTCTGAAAAGGAAAACCCCAACTTCGCGGACATCCCGTATATGCCGCATCCGCGTCGCTCACCGAGGCGCGCTCTATCGCGTCACACCCGTTATTAAGAGAGGCACATCTACTCCCGTCGTTTACCCGCGCCCAGTGCAGCGAACCGAGTCGTGGCGTATCAAAGAATCAGATATGCGGCACCCGCGCCTCAGCCCGAGGCGTTGTTGTCAACCGCGTTACGGCCCTTATTAAGAGAGGCACATCTACTCCCGTCGTTTACCCGCGCCCAGTGCAGCGAACCGAGTCGTGGCGTATGAAAGAATCAGATATGCGGCACCCGCGCCTCAGCCCGAGGCGTTGTCAACCGCGTTACGGCTCTTTATTAAGAGAGGCACATCTACTCCCGTCGTTTACCCGCGCCCAGTGCAGCGAACCGAGTCGTGGCGTATGAAAGAATCAGATATGCGGCACCCGCGCCTCAGCCCGAGGCGTTGTTGTCAACCGCGTTACGGCCCTTATTAAGAGAGGCACATCTACTCCCGTCGTTTACCCGCGCCCAGTGCAGCGAACCGAGTCGTGGCGTATGAAAGAATCAGATATGCGGCACCCGCGCCTCAGCCCGAGGCGTTGTCAACCGCGTTACGGCTCTTTATTAAGAGAGGCACATCTACTCCCGTCGTTTACCCGCGCCCAGTGCAGCGAACCGAGTCGTGGCGTATGAAAGAATCAGATATGCGGCACCCGCGCCTCAGCCCGAGGCGTTGTCAACCGCGTTACGGCCCTTTATTAAGAGAGGCACATCTACTCCCGTCGTTTACCCGCGCCCAGTGCAGCGAACCGAGTCGTGGCGTATGAAAGAATCAGATATGCGGCACCCGCGCCTCAGCCCGAGGCGTTGTCAACCGCGTTACGGCTCTTTATTAAGAGAGGCACATCTACTCCCGTCGTTTACCCGCGCCCAGTGCAGCGAACCGAGTCGTGGCGTATGAAAGAATCAGATATGCGGCACCCGCGCCTGAGCGCGAGGCGTTGTCAACCGCGTTACGGCCCTTATTAAGAGAGGCACATCTACTC